GCCTTGGTGTCTGTCTGCCTTCCTAATCACGTTAGGTTGTCTGTTCAATTTACGAATCTGTTCATTCCTTTCAGTGTCGCAATTATTTTTGTCGCTTTATGTGTATTGTGTTTTTGGTGTTTTGCTTCCTGGCTATCTATCTTTTGTCTATGTCTGTTCCTTATGTAATCCTTTCTTTTTTAATAATCTTTTATTGGAAGTAAATGCGATGAAGTGGCTAGACGCTCGCCTGCGGATCGGAGGGTCGTGGGTTCAAATCCGAATGGAGCCGGAATTGTTTTCAAACATGACCTTGGCTCCCAGGTCAACCCTGCCGTAAATTGGTACCAGTAAAGTCCTGGGAAATAAAGGCGGCTTTGAACCACATAACCAAACAAGATGGTATGAAGAAAATATGAGGCAAGCCTCATATGCCCTATGCGCCAATAGTGTGTAATGGGTTTTAACTTACTTCCTTTAGTCCTTCTGTATTTACATCTTTATCCTATTACATCTTCATCTTGTCTTCGCTAGCCTACTTACGTATTCCTTAGTTCTCAGTGTCGCTCTTTCTCTAATTATGTATGTATGCATTCTTTTCTAACCTTCTTTCATCATTAATTCTTTCTTTATGTACTTCGTATTGTCTCTCCCCCCCCCCCACACCCCCCACACCCCCGCCACGCTGACTTCTGATGTGTCTGTTTTCTATACTTCCATTCGTCTGCTTTCTGCCTGCCTGTTTGTCTGCCAGTCTCTTTTCTTTCTTTCTTTCTTTCTTTCTTTCTTTCTTTCTTTCTTTCTTTCTTTCTTTCTTTCTTTCTTTCTTTCTTTCTTTCTTTCTTTCTTTCTTTCTCTTTCTTTCTTTCTTTTTTCTTTCTTTCTTTCTTTCTTTCTTTCTTTTTTCTTTCTTTCTTTTTTTTCTTCTTTCTTTCTTTCTTTCTTTCTTTCTTTCTTTCTTTCTTTCTTTCTTTCTTTTCTTTCTTTTCTTTCTTTCTTTCTTTCTTTCTTTCTTTCTTCTTTCTTTTCTTTCTTTCTCTTCTTTCTTTCTTTCTTTTGCTTCTTTCTTTCTTTCTTTCTTTCTTTCTTTCTTTCTTTCTTTCTTTCTTTCTTTCTTTCTTTCTCTTCTTTCTTTCTTTCTTTCTCTTCTATCTTTCTTTTCTCTTCTTTCTTTCTTTCTTTTCTTTCTTTCTTTCTTTCTTTTTCTTTAGCTTTCTTTCTTTCTTTTCTTTCTTTCTTTCTTTCTTCTCCTTATTCTTTCTTCTTTCTTTCTTTCTTTCTTTCTTTCTTTCTTTCTTTCTTTCTTTCTTTCTTTCTTTCTCTTTCTTTCTTTCTTTCTTTCTTCTTTCTTTCTTTCTTTCTTTCTTTCTTTCTTTCTTTCTTTCTTTCTTTCTTTCTTTTTTCTTTCTTTCTTTTTCTTTCTTTTCTTTCTTTCTTTCTTTCTTTCTTTCTTTCTTTCTTTCTTTCTTTCTTATGTATGACTGTCTTTGTTCACATTTTTGTTTGCATGCTTGTGTTTCGCTATCCTTTTCTGATGCGGTTAAATTTATTTTTTCTTTCTTTTAGTTCCCCCCCCCCACCCTTTCCTGCCACTATGTTTGGCTGTCTGTCGGAACAAACATCAATTATTCGAATTCATTCAAATCTTCTTCTTCTTCGCATTAACCGATTGTAAACCCCGGCGGAAAGTTCTGGTTGTTCGTGTACTTCTGGACTTTAGTCTTGTGTTTTGTTCCAGAACTTGAGTTTTGCATGCACATCCGTTTTACAGATCTGGCTTATATGTATGCAGACTATAGGTTCCTGGCCTCCCAGGAAGATGCACTCCAACTTTAAAGGAAACATCTCTAATTTGTCGACATTTACAAC